CCCCTGACATTTGTGTGTGCCCTGACTCTCGCAGCAGCAGTAGTATCTAAGCGACTGGTCGTTTTTGCAAGGCGGACGACATGGCTATCCGGCTGGGCGAGCCCTTCGGGTCGGGCCGTCACGATCTGCCGCTTGAAGGAGTTTGTGCCACGTGCGAGGTGCGCGCAGGGGTATAGGGGATATGTAGCCCACTCATCAGCGTGAGCGCGGCGAGCCGCTCTGGCAGGTGGTGCTCCTCGAGATCGCGACGCGCGCTTCCGCCAAGGACCCGTTGCCCAGCACGTGGTGAGCGGAAATTATAGAAGAGCGAGAGATGCAGATTGCTGATTAGCGTTGGAGGTTAAACTCGTACACCCACCTTCCTCGGAGAACAATATATGTCCGCGGGTACACCCTCCGCGGGTTCACATTTACTTTGTCTTCTATCGGCCCCCAATCGCCAATCCCATGATTGCCATGGCCTCCGCTGGGCTCGGAAATTCTCAAAAAGCACGCGACCCAAGACGCAAGAGTCGTTCAACCGCCCGCTTGGCGTGGCGAGCGCCCGTGGCGCAAACCGGCTGAGCGAAAGCATCCGCCGGAAGGCGCGGTTGCAATCGCCGGCCCGCCAAGCTCCTGCCTTGGGTCCATGCCCGCGAAGGCAGAGGGGGTCGAAAAAAGAAAACACGGGCGCGCGGCGTCGCCGTCGGAGCGCGCTGACGTCATCGTGGCGTCGGCCAACCCGGAGCGCGCATGGAAGGAGCTCTCCGTGAGCAGCCCCGAGGTCGTGGCACGCATCTGCGTGAGTCCGTGAGAGCGTCGCGCCGCGTTGCGAGCAAGCAAATACACACAAATACGCATGTATCCAGCTTGAGTCCAAATACACAAAATACAAACACGTGTTAGAGTTGTTTGGTATTGCTAAAAATCTCTCTCTCAAAATACAGACTTACCCATCTATCTATCCATCTAGGACACTAAACCCGGCACGCGGGGTCAGCACGGATCAGAACTCTCGCCGTGCACGGACCTCGCCCCGCCCGCGGACATCCTCGCCCAGCATCCCGCCAAGGACCAAGGCGGGACGCGATGCGCGTGCCCTCACAGTCTACCCGGGAGCACTTGGAGCACTTGGAGTGCGGTCATCAACCTCGGCGCACCGGGGACTGCGTTCCCCGGTTCTTTCATTAGAAATGACGAGATCCGTGGAAACGAATTTCGCTGGGCGGCTGCTTTTTGAGTGAGCTGGAACACAACCAAACGGAGCACTCACCTTGCTGCTCGCCAATAGCAGCGCCAACAGAGCAAGAAGAACAACCGTTCCAACAGGCGAGCGTCAACCCTTGCAAATCTCCCTCGCCCCACGCAATCCCTCGCCGAATATCCACCGCCTTGTGAGTCCCTTGTCGCGGCGGGTTCTCGCCTCGGTCGGGGTTGCCGCGAATCGGTCATCACAACCCACCTCAAACCCCCCAGGAATGGTCGGTAAAAAGAGCACCGACAACATGGCGTCCTGGACTCCGGAGGAGGACCGCAAAATCCTCCAGCTGTATGCACTTGAGGTGCGGCCGCCGTAACGCCATCACTCTCGCCCAAGTATTTGAAGATCCGCGCCGCGCCGTCTCTCACCCCCTGCATCTCCCCATTCCGCAGGGTCGTAAATGGGGCCGCATCGCCGACGGCCTCACCAACCGCAGCCCGGCGTCCGTTCGCAACCGCTACCTCAGAATCGAGTTCGGGCAGCACGCGCGACGCCTCGGCCTCGCCAAGAACCGCTGCACCGCATGTGGGCTTCCCAAGCTGGGCCACGTGTGCTCGGTGAAGACCTCCGGCTTCTCGCGCGCCGCCTCTCTCCTCACCGCCGTCCGCCCGTCGGGCCCGACCGTTCCCCGCTCGGCTGCTGCGCCGCCGCCGCCGATGCAAACCACGCAGACGCCGCCGCACGTGAAGCCGCTGGTCCTCAGCGTGCCGGACCCGGCGTCGCCGCTCTCGCCCTCGTCGCCGCTCTCGCCCCCCACTTCGCTGCCGCCCGCCCACCCGCCGCCCGTTTTGCGAGCCTTCGCGTATGCCATTCCCATCGGCTGGCCGCCGATCCAACCGAGCATGACCTCGGCGAGGGCGGCGCCGCCCCCCGCCCCTCCGCCCACTGCCCCTCCGCCGCTCGTACGGCTGCCGACGGAGCCGGTCCTACACCCGCTCACGACGGCGCACTCTGTCTACTACGCGCGGATGGCAGAAAAAAAAGCGGGCCCGGACATCTGATCGCACTTTGCATGTCCATGTGTCAACGGTGGCGAGTGGCATCTCTCTCTCTCTCTCTCTCTCTCTCTCTCTCTCTCTCTCTCTCTCTCTCTCTCTCTCTCTCTCTCTCTCTCTCTCTCCTCTCTCTTAACCCTCATATACATTTCCCTCACATTCCCTCATCCTTATCACAATTTTGATACAGTTTTGGGCGGAGAGGCGAGAGCGAAGAGGCCCACTATGCACTAATCTACGAAATCTAGAGCCGGGCGAGTTTTCACCCCCCCCCCCCCCCCTGGGCCATTCGCGATCTCCCAACTCGGGCGGGAAAGCGCATGCCCTTTGAAGAGTTCGGAGGGTAGATGAGCGGTCTTCAGCCTATCCCACGAGAGAAACAGAATGGAGCACCAAACACCCTCTGGTTTCCCTGGAAACTTCCGGAAACGCAAAGTGCTGGGGACCCTCTGGTTTCCCTCTGGGTTGCCGGAAACCCTCGGAAAGGCCAACAAGTGCTCTACTATACTTAGCACGGCTGCCGCCCGAGAGCCGAGTGCGCGTCGGCTGGAGGGCGCCGTACGGGACTCGGGAGAGCACCCGCCCGCAGCCGCGCGCCCTGAGCAGTAAGTAAGTAAGATGTAAGTAGATAGAGAGAGGTCGATTAGATCGGTTCACTTGTACATACAACCTACTCCCACAGTGAATGAAATACTGTACTCCGAACGCGCGCGGCGGCTCCCAGTAAGTAACTAAGGACGCGAAGCACAGTCAGGCTCGGACTGGACGCCGACGCGGCTGGGCGCCCTCGCTGGGTACACTTCATTAGCGTTTCGCCGCTCGCGCTTCATTTGTCGAGCCTCGAGCGGCAAGCCCGCCGATCTTCGCTCGGGGGCTAACTGGCGCGCGGCCCCAGCGATGTTAAGCGCGGCCGTTGTCAGCCACGACGTCGAAGGGAAGGACGAGGTGCGGGGCGGGCAGCCGTATGTGGTCTACAGTCTGGCAGTGAGCGAGGCTGGCGATCGCTGGAGCGTGCAGCGGCGATGGTGCGTGCAAGCCCGGCGCGAAAAATGTGAACCGCCACCGCCCACCTTCAGCCACCCTGCTCGCAGGAACGACCTGCGCATCATGGTTGCAACGCTCCAGGCAAAGCATGCCAAGCAGCTCCGCGACTCCGGAGTCGCCATCCCGCGTTTCAACGTACACGGCTTTCGCTCAGCAGGTGTGCGACCCTCCTCACCGCCGTCTCCCCTCGCTGCGCGTCCCCGCAGCCCGCCCGCCCTGCTTTCTCAGGAGCGATGCTCGAGCCAGCATTCCGGGATGAGCGCGCGGCTGCGATGCAAGGGCTGCTCGCCGCGTACCTGAAGGCGCTCCCCGCCTCTGTGGTGAGAGGCGAAGGCCCTGAGCCGCTGCTGGACTTTCTCTCCCCGGCGCAGCCGCGGGCAGGCCTCTCGGCCGCGCTGGTGCCACCCAGTCTCCGGCACTGGAGCATCTTTGGCTCAACCTCGTCGACGCTCTCCGTTGACCTCCCCGAAGAGCCTCCTCCGCCATTCCCGATGCCTGCCATCGATGAGCACGGCGAGACCGGCGCACCCTCCCCAAAGAAGCACGCGGCGCAGCGGTCGCCGGTGAAGGCTCGCCTCTCCTCTCGCCGAAGCGGCTGGGCGAGACGCCACCGAGACGCTACCGAGATGGCTCCAAGACCCCTCACTCCCTCGCCCGCCACACACCCCACGTTCTGCCGCTGCGGCGTCGCCACATGATCCATCTCCACGATCCATCTCCACGACACGCCAACAACAACATGTGCATGCACATGTCCGCGCAGGTGTGGCTCGTGATTGGTGCCCTGCTCCCTCTCCTGACCGGAATGTACGCGGGCGTCGCCAAGATCGAGACGGTTGCGCGCGAGCCGGTCAAGGTGGTTGGCGGCACCCGCCGAGGAGGGGCGGCCGCCCTTCGCTCGCGGCTCGGCGGCTTGGTCGGAGGCGGCGCCCGCAAGCCTTGAAGCGCTGCGTTCCGCCTTTTGGCGCACGACGACACTCTGTCCATGACTTGCCCATATCGAGACACGAAAAGGGAAGGCGTTTTCGTGGCTTCAACTCGGAAGATCCGGAGATTGCGGCGGTGTGCATGCGCGCGCTCTCATTGTGGACGCCGCGCCGGTCTTGATTCTGCACATAGATACGACCTGCGTGTCTCGCTGTTTGGTGTATTCGTCATTGTTCTTGGCCTCTCTCTGGACTCTGGAGACTAGCTCTCTCGAGAACGCTCTGCGTGGGCGCGGACCAGGTGCGCCCGGAGGCTGGTGCCCGCAGATCTAAACGAGCGTACCCCTCTCGGTATAGCGGACGAGCGGAGACCCTGTCGGTGGCGCGGCCGGGGCCTGGCTCCCTGGCACGCGGCGCGCGCGCGGCGCGGTCAGGTCAGACTGGCAGTCATTGTCGGTCCGTCGTTCAGCGGCCGCTTGGTGGTGGCTTCAAATGAATGTTCGTATACGGAGGGTAAAATAAACCGTCAATCCGTCATGCGTACGATCGCGCGCCCTGCCGCGCCAGGGCCAGGGTGCGAGAGGCCCTGAGACCTTGAAGTGTTCTGGTCGATAGCACAAACCAGTGCAAGAAAAGGCGCACATTGACGTTCGAGCGTGTTCCCCAGGCTCGTCTCGCTGCGAGTGCTCGCGCCATCAGCTGCGGAGACCGAGAGTCGGCTCCACGCGGCTCTCGGCTCTGCAAATCCGCACAGCCCTTGCCGGCGTCGCTCCGTGTTGTCGGCTGCTGCTGCTGTCCGCGTTGCCTTGGCTCGTCGCCTCACGTTGGCACACTCGCCTGCCTCGCCGCGCCGAGCAGCTTGCCCAGCTGCGCCGGGAGAGCCGCTGCCTCATCGACGGCCCTCCGCAGCTCCTTGAGTCGCCCCTCCAGCTCCGAGGCCCGCGCCCGCTCTCTCGCGGCGGCCGCCTCGGCTGCAGCCCGCGCCTGTGAACGCGTGCTGGGTGTGAAGACAGCTAGGTGTCAAGCGATGCTGCGCCCCCTCCTCGGCCGCGGCACGCACCGCCCTCTCCGCCTCTGCCTCCCGCAGCCGCTCCTATTGGAAGGTTCCGAGACAAGGCTCAGAGAACGAACCCGCCCTCTCCGCCTCGGCCCGCCGCAACGCCGCTCCTCCATCTCGGCCGCGCGCGCCCGCTCGCGCGCCAAGGCCGCCTCTGCCGTCGCCCGCGCCGCCCGCTCCTCCTCGAGCTGCGTCGACAGCTCCGCCCGCCTCTCGCGCGCCGCCTGCGCCGCCTCCTCGGCCGCCCTCGCCGCCGCCTCCGCCGACACCAGCCGTCGAGCCTCCGCCTCCTGCTGCGCCTACGGGTCACCACGGGCGGATCGCATGTCGAGGCCATGCCGTCAACGCCTCCGCCTCCTGCTGCGCCTAGCGGGAAACCACGGGCGGTCATGGACGTGTCGTGGACGTGCCATCAGAGCCTCCCTCCTGACGTATCCGCCTTGACGTCGCGCAGCTCTGCGCCCACCGCCTCGAGCCGCGCCTCAAACGCCGCCGCCGCCGCCGCGGAGAGCGGCGCCTGACGCGGCCTGTCTTCGGCCATCCTCGTCGGGAGGTCAGTCTCGCGCTGCGCGCCCGGCCGCTGCCGCTTGGACGACTCGCTCTCTGCCGGCGGCGAGTCCTCGAGAGGCGGAGGCACATTGCTCAGCGGCTGCGGCGGCGGCTCGAAGCGGAAGGCGATCGTCTTGTGCGGCTGGCCCTCACTCTTGGCGGCCGCGCGGAGCTCGATGGTGTCTCCAAGGTTCATTCGCGCCGGCTTCCCCTGCACGAGTTGCGCCCCGTTGAGCCACGTCCCGTTGGACGAGCGGTCGCAAAGCCACGGGCCCTCTTCGTCGCGCCCGACCTCAAAATGGCGATTGGAAACCCAGTCCACGCGCTTGTTGAAGTGGATGGCGCACGCGCTCGCTCGGCCACACTCCACGTTGCGAGTTGCGAGCACGTAAGCTCCGCCGCGGGGCCGCTCACAGCCCGCGTCCTCCCAGCGAGTGAGGACGAGCCGGCCCCAGGGTGGAGCGTGGAGCATTGACGAGGGACACGAGCAGCGACGAGGGACACGAGCAGATGGTCGGTGGGATGGTGTTGGGCGAGGCCAGCTCAGGAAAAAGAAAAAGCCGGAGTAAATCCCTCCGGGGGCCCCTCTGCGCCGGGGAGGCGTTGTTGGAGGCTAGGACGCAAGCGTCCGTCGCCTTTTTCAAACTCGGGGCCCACTCCGCTACGCTCCGACCCGAATTTGGAGGGCGGCCCCCATGAAATGTAAGGTGTTGCTGGGGCGGGGCGCGGGCGCGCGCGGCAGGCCGAGAGCTCTTTTTGGAGATCAGACCTTTATGACACGACACGCGGTGTGGGAGCTGGAGCTGGTGCTTGGAACCAACCCCCAAGAACGGCAGGCTGGGGGGATGAATCAATTTAGGAAGCAAAATAGTGGAAGAGGTCGTTAGGCAGTTGCGCCACGGCCTTCTTTAGTAAAAGGCGAAAGAAGGGCACGTATGACGTAACCGCGATAACCTCTTCACAGTGAATTTGGGCACTCTTGAAGCGGCTCGGAACCAGGCTGCTTGTGGCCGGGCAATGCAAGCGCGCCCGACGGGAGTCAATTTGCACGAGTGTGTGGCCGGGCCGAAGCCGCACAGCCGCTGAATAGCGGCCAAAGCTGCCACGGCTCTACGCTGTGGAGCGAACGGCGCGCGAGGCAGAAGATGCACTTGTTGCAGACACGACCAATGCGCGTCAACACCTCGCGCGTCAATGCCCTCGCAACGGCGGAGGTCACGCCGCCTCGTGCTGTGGATCCTCATCCTCGGCCATAATGTGAGGCGCCATAGCACCGGCTCCGCCGACAGCCGCTCTGCCCGGCACTTGGCCGCACCATCCATCGTCGCTCCCTACTCGCGTGCCGCCGCGGGCACTGACTCGTGCGGCGCACGTGTGACGCCTGGCAGGCGAGGAGGGCGTGAGGGGCGACGGCCACCTCCTCCCACACCCAGGCTTTTTGCCCAGCCATCGGTGGCACCTGCACGTCCCACCGGCCAACCGCCCAGTGCCCGACTACTTGTAGCACTTGGTCTTGGAGTGCGGGGGGGGGGGGGGAGCGACGCTCTCAGCCCGTGGCCGGAGCGGCCCGGCGGTCAGCGGGCGCCATGGGCGAGGGGGGCGAGGAGGACGTGGCGGGCGCGGTGGTCGGGGTGTGGAGCGTGGCGGCTAAGGTAGGTGCGCGGCTGCCAACCGGTAGGTACCTCCCTAGAAACCACTCTGGCACTGGAAAGGGGTCTCCCCGCTCGTGCTGTTTGCGACGGCCACCCCCTCTCCCACACCCCTGTACTCAGGCTGTGTTTTTGCCCTAGCAGCTGTGTGTCGGGCGCACGGCTGCAAACAACAACACTCACACATCATTTGGGGTAGGACGGCGACCGCCTCCACTGTGAACCACTTTTGATGCCTAATCTCAAAGTATAGCCAGGGGGGATACCCGTAGCCCCCAAAGTGAACTGCCTGATCGACTCCCCGGCACACGGCGGAGGAGGAGGAAGACAGCACAACCCAGGGCGGGAAGAGCACAATGCTCAGGGTGGGACAAAACACCGACAGAACACCGACAGACGAGAGAAGAGGCCACAAAACAGACAAGCAGAATGGCAAGAGAGAGACGCTCTGCAGGCGAGCCCACGGGCCTCTTGGGCCCTCGCGTCTCTCTCTCTCGATTCGTTACACCGATTCGACCATCAATGCGGCGGGCCGATTTCGACCCATCACAAATGTGGGAAGCCATTAACCTCCCTTGGCTTCCCACACAAACCCCCCTTCATGGGGGGAGCAGCAAATGAGGTAGTCTCTGCGAAATCACTGTCCCAGTGAATTCGCCCTAGAGGCTTCCGTGTGGACTCGCAGCTCCGGCTGGATGTCGGCGACCTAAAGCTCGGCGGTCGTCGCTTCGCGCCGGCCGACTCCCTGTAGGACGGCGACCGCCTCCACTGTGAACCACTTTTGATGCCTAATCTCAAAGTATAGCCAGGGGGGATACCCGTAGCCCCCAAAGTGAACTGCCTGATCGACTCCCCGGCACACGGCGGAGGAGGAGGAAGACAGCACAACCCCATCGCCAATCCTGTCGAGGTCGATCCACCGTCTCGCGCGTGAATCGGCCGCGACCTCCACCTCGAGGCGAGGGCCCACCCTTGTGTCGAGTGCCCCTCCAATAGCTCAGTAGAAGCGCGACGTGTTCTACGGCCGCGACCATCACCATCGTAGGTCCTTGCACTGCGACTGCGCCACCGGCCAAGCTCCAGTGCGGTTGACCCCCATCCACGATAGGGCTGTCGCCTCATCCATGCCGCTGACCGCGCCCAGCAGCGGGTGCTCGCCGCTGTCCACGGACGCGGCTCGTCAGGCGGCGCGGTGCCGCCGGCTGCAGCGACGGCTGTCCCGGCCGTCGCGTCCTCGAGAGAGGCGAGCGAGCCGGCAGCCGAGCCCGCATGGCCCTCACCGCCACAGCCGCTCTGCCTGCTGACCTCGCTCTCGCCGCCGCCGCCTGCAGCGGCGCCTCCGCGGCTCCGAGAGGACCCGGCCCGCGGCCGCGCCTCGTCGAGCGCCTCGTCGACGCCCTCGGCGACGCCTCCTCGCGTCGCGTGCCCGTGCGTGGCGACCGCACCGCCGGCAGAGCTCGAGTGGCCCTCCACGCCACCCCGAGACTGCCCGGCGATGGTGCTTTCGTCGCCGCGCGTTGCCGTCGCTGCCTCGCAGCGGCTCTGTGCCTCGGCGCCGAGCCGAGACATGCCAGGCGGCCCGCCGCCGCCCACCGAGACGAGGCCCGTCCCCTCGTCGTGCACCGCGTCGCTCGCGCCTCCGCCAAAGCGATCTCGATCACGCTTTGCGGCGACGGCGCCATCGACGCCGACTTGAGCCGCTGCTCTCGCCCAGCAGCGGGTGCTCGCCGCTGTCCACGGACGCGGCTCGTCAGGCGGCGCGGTGCCGCCGGCTGCAGCGACGGCTGTCCCGGCCGTCGCGTCCTCGAGAGAGGCGAGCGAGCCGGCAGCAGAGCCCGCATGGCCCCCGACTTGCGCCGCTGCTCTCGCCCAGCAGCGGTTGCTCGCCGCTGTCCACGGACGCGGCTCGTCAGGCGGCGCGGTGCCGCCGGCTGCAGCGACGGCTGTCCCGGCCGTCGCGTCCTCGAGAGAGGCGAGCGAGCCGGCAGCAGAGCCCGCATGGCCCTCACCGCCACAGCCGCTCTGCCTGCTGACCTCGCTCTCGCCGCCGCCGCCTGCAGCGGCGCCTCCGCGGCTCCGAGAGGACCCGGCCCGCGGCCGCGTCTCGTCGAGCGCCTCGTCGACGCCCTCGGCGACGCCTCCTCGCGTCGCGTGCCCATGCGTGGCGACCGCACCGCCGGCAGAGCTCGAGTGGCCCTCCACGCCACCCCGAGACTGCCCGGCGATGGTGCCTCCGCCGCCGCGCGTTGCCGCCGCTGCCTCGCAGCGGCTCTGTGCCTCGGCGCCGAGCCGAGACATGCTCGGCGGCCCGCCGCCGCCCACCGAGACGAGGCCCGCCCCCTCGTCGTGCACCGCGTCGCTCGCGCCTCCGCCAAAGCGATCTCGATCACGCTTTGCGGCGACGGCGCCATCGACGCCGACTTGAGCCGCTGCTCTCGCCCAGCAGCGGGTGCTCGCCGCTGTCCACGGACGCGGCTTGTCAGGCGGCGCGGTGCCGCCGGCTGCAGCGACGGCTGTCCCGGCCGTCGCGTCCTCGAGAGAGGCGAGCGAGCCGGCAGCAGAGCCCGCATGGCCCTCACCGCCACAGCCGCTCTGCCTGCTGACCTCGCTCTCGCCGCCGCCGCCTGCAGCGGCGCCTCCGCGGCTCCGAGAGGACCCGGCCCGCGGCCGCGCCTCGCCTAGCGCCTCGTCGACGCCCTCGGCGACGCCTCCTCGCGTCGCGTGCCCGTGCGTGGCGACCGTACCGCCGGCAGAGCTCGAGTGGCCCTCCACGCCACCCCGAGACTGCCCGGCGATGGTGCCTCCGCCGCCGCGCGTTGCCGCCGCTGCCTCGCAGCGGCTCTGTGCCTCGGCGCCGAGCCGAGACATGCCAGGCGGCCCGCCGCAGCCCACCGAGACGAGGCCCGCCCCCTCGTCGTGCACCGCGTCGCTCGCGCCTCCGCCAAAGCGATCTCGATCACGCTTTGCGGCGACGGCGCCATCGACGCCGACTTGAGCCGCTGCTCTCGCCCAGCAGCGGGTGCTCGCCGCTGTCCACGGACGCGGCTTGTCAGGCGGCGCGGTGCCGCCGGCTGCAGCGACGGCTGTCCCGGCCGTCGCGTCCTCGAGAGAGGCGAGCGAGCC